GAATATCTTGCTTCTTGAGTGTGGGCTGGTTAGTGACTTCCTTTGAACAAATAGAATAAAACAGAAGTGATGGTGGGTGTATTGAGTTGAATATGTTCCCCCCTCAAAAGAAAAAAAGTAAAAAAAAGAAAATTCGTGTCCACCCAGAACCTCAGACTGTGGCCTTATTTGGAAACAGGGTCTTTGCAGATTTAATCAAGTTAAAATGAGGCCATTAGGGTGGGCCCTAATCCAATATGACTGGTGTCCTTATAGAAAAGAAAAATTTGGATGCAGAGACAGATACACACAGAGAGAAGAAGACGTGAAGACACAGGGTGGACACAGAGAGGGGACAGAGGACTGGAGTGATGCATCTATACGCCAAGGAACGCCTGAGGCTGCCGGAAGCTCGGATTGCAGCATGGAACAGATCCTTCCCTAGCATCTTCAGAGGGAGCATGGCCCTGCCAACACCTTGATTTTGGACTTCTGGCCTCCAGAATTGTGAGAGAATAAATTTCTCTTTATTAAATAGATATCCACCCAGTTTCTGATTCTCGTTATGGCAGCCTAAAGAAACCAAATACATCTGCTCGAGTTGCGTGTCCTTAACCAGGGCCAGAAAAAAGACGGGTGAAGCCTCAGCCTATTTATTCCTGCGTGGGATGCTTGCGCAACAAAGTAAGTAACAAGAGTTCGTGGCTTTTCCATTGTGGTGGTGGGTTTTTTGGGAACACTCAGCCTGGAGGTAGTTTTCTTCCTGTGCAATGCAGAGAACCAGTAAACCCCACCCTTTGTAGCAGGACAGAGAGGAGAGGCGCAGGGGCAAGCCGAGCGTACCGTCTTGACCTGGACCATGGCTTGGCTCTGTGCAGGAGCTAACACTGTGTACACAGCTACTTAAAGCCCAACCTTCTAACCAAATGGAGACAGACAGGGGTAGAACTCCCCAAAGGGGAGAGATGCCCTGAGACCAGGCAGTGCCCCTTCTCATGCCAACCATGGAGACAGGAATCAAGGGCAGGAGGGTTTGTTCGCAAACAAAACCGAACCTGAAAATCTCAAGAATACCAGGAACTGGACCTTATCTAGCCAAGGATTGTTTGTTCTTGTTTCGTTTTTGTTTCTTGTTTCTTTTTATTTTAAAACTTCCTTAGAGGAGAAAAATTAACACTAAAATTGAAATCCCAGTCATAATTTTTGCATGTATATTTGTGAACATATAATTATTCCTCTGTGTGTGTGTCGTTCTATTATGTGGATTCAGTTCTCAAGCCATCCTTTTGTCATCTTTTTGAAGCCAGGAAATATAAACGAAAATCCTCAGATGTTATTAAAGAGAGGCTCCTGGACTAAGAGGCCCCCAGATGACGGCAGGTAATTTCCCCTTGTTACCTCTGCGTACAGGAGTGGGCGGACCTGCGACGTGAAGCTGCCTTGCCAGGAAGGGCTCCGGTTGTCCTGAGCCTGGGGACACACCCCTCCACTCAGACCCAACCTCAGTCTGTGCAGGGTTAGAGAGCCTCAGCCCTGAGCCTCTGTTTTCATTCCTCCTCAGACCCAGTTCAGCTTCTTTTTGTCTGCAGAACAGGCTGGGGTAGGAGGACAGGGAGGACTGACATCGGAGAGGATCCTAGCTAACAATGTTAGAAATTTAGGGTAATTTCCTCTATTTACTTCACCCTAAAAAAAGAGAGAGAGAGAGAGACTTCTTTTGTCAAAATAAACGTGTGAAAAGTGCAAGGTTTGTTGTTGTTTTGAAGAATTTGAACAGTGAGGTGTTTTCCCTGGGACTCAGTTTCAAAATCAACAAACTGACACCTGCGTGAAAAAGGAAAAACGGAGTCAGCTCTGTCATCATCCTTCCTCAGCAACGGAGCTCCACAGGGAAGGGCAACGCGTCTCCTTGGTCCCTGCTGCCCCCAAACTACTGACTTGTACAATGCATCATGACGCACCAGGCGTCATCACCCCAGGTGTCGGGAGGGGAAGGAAGACAAAGGTCAAATTGTTTGTATATTTGGTTCTCTTAATACTGCTGGGCTAGTGAAGTTGTTTTTCTGAGAGCTTCTTGTTCATCTGGGTTTTAAATACTGCATTGCTTTTTTTTTCTTTCCTTTTTTCTTTTCCTTTTTTTTTTTTTTTTCCTGCAGGGTGAGAGAGAAGCAAACTTTCCACAGTATTAACTGTCACGGATTTTTCCTCCTGTGTACAATCGAGTGGCTGCAAGGCAGTTCTAAAAGGCGTGTTTTATTTATAAACAGATCTGGAAATATTTTTAAAATAAAAGATGCCAAGGGTGGGGCTGGGTCACAGCCAAGTCATGAGAAGTGAGATGTTTATTCTAGAGGTCGGCATTAGCACCCTCCCACAGGTAGTTTTAAAGTAATTCAGGGTCAAGTGGAAACATTCTGATTATTTTTACCTTCAGCTTCAGATTTCAGAGGGTATGGATTCTGGCTTGTTGGGAAGCTCATCTGAGGGACTCTACGCTTTAAGTACAATCCAGTTTCGTAGTTTCCGAGGCAAACGCTGACCTGACTGAATTTAAAAACAGCTTCCGCAGTTGATTTCCCCAAGGCCTCACCTTTACTTCCCTCTGCTCTCTTTCCTTTGTGTTCGCCTTATTCTCAGGCTGGGGCACATGCAGACCTTGGAAGAGACTGCAGGGGACCAACAGAGGATGGGGAAGTTGTTAACATGACTAAATGCGCCCTTCCCGGGTTCCGTCTGCCATCTTTCTGTTCTATTTCTATTCTGCCCTTTCTGTTCCATTCTGGTTTCTTCAGTTGCTTTGAGGAGGGAGGAGGGAGAGGATGTCTGGTCAAAGAGCATCCCGATGGGAACAGGAGAATTAAGGAGAGGAAATAGGAGCCGGAGATAAAGAAATAAGAGCTAGAAGAGAAACAAATAGAGACGGAGATGATGGATAATACGAGGAACATAACAGAGAGGGAGCAAAAGGAAAAAGGAGTGAGACATGGAGATTGTCCCGTAGAGAGAAACAATTCAGAAATAGAAAAATGTGAGAAACTTGAAAGTAAACAAACTTAGAAGCCCATACAGGAAAGGAAAGAACCAAATGGAAGTAAGAAATAGAACCCCAAACAGGAAGGACGTCTGAATGAGAAATGTGATTGAGGGACGGAACAGAGAAGCCTTTGTGGCGTGTTTGTAGATTAGAAGGAAACGACAGAACAGAGGGAATCCAGGAGTGTTTATTCCTTGCACCTGGCAAACAAAAAAATCATTATTTTTTAATCATGGAAGAAACACCTCTAAGAGCACTGGGCCTTTCATGCTATCGGCCTGTCTCTCACTCATCTTAATCCCTTAGGACTCTTTTAAAAGCGTCAGGAAACCCAGCATGAGGAAAACCACATTTCCACCCACATGACTTTTATATAAAGTTTACTTTAGAGAGATAAGTTCTCACATCCCTTAGAGTTCAAGCTGGGTTACCTGTCCTCGGCAGTAAATGATCTTGAGCTTTTTAGTTCCTTATAAATCCCCGGGTAAATGACAAAAACATCTTGGTTCCTTAAAAATATGGCTAAAAAATGAAATAATTATTTGCATGACTCCCATTTCAGAAGGCTGCTTTACTATTAATAAGTTAGAGGCTGCCTCGTAAGTTTAAATAATTTAACAAATGGAGTAATAAAAAAAAGGTAAGTAAAGCATAAACCTATAAACACAGCCCATACCCAGAAGAAGTAAAGATTAGTTATTTCATTAGTGCAAATTGCTGTTACTAAACATTATGATAAATTACCAAAAAGATGCCTCGCCACCCCTTCTATAATTTTAGGTTATTAATTTTATTCATATACAAGTAATTCTTGCCTTGTATGCCTCTCTTGCCCTGTTTCTCTAATGAGGAAACGGGGCGGGGGCGGGGAGGAATGTAGTAGATAAAAATGCTCAAATTGGGGCTGAAGCAAATAAAAAAAGATCAGAAACAAATAACATTATCAGCTTTTAGACCCATAATAAGCTCTTATTTATTTAACCCTATTAATTTGAAATTTGTACTAACTTGATTGGGATCTGGACAGAAATTTTCCTTCATTTAGCAAACGCCGTCTTGCTAAGTAGTGCAGAAGAATGATGTAAATGTGATTACAAGGGGAACATTCAAAATACATCTTTGAGCACTTCAGGCAATCTCTTCTATATGAATAATTAATATAAGAATACATATCATTCTTATCCAATAATTATCTGGTAATTCAGAAAGAATTTGTTAGGTCACCCTGCAGAGTAGGGAGGTGTGGGTTTCATGCTAAATAGCAAGGCACTTAACCTTTTTAGCCTTTATATTTCTTACCTGTAAAATTAGTTTGATAATACTAACTCTACCTAGTCAAAGGGTTTTTTATGAGCATGAAATGAGAGAATGGATGGGAATCCATTCTGAAGGTATTAGTAAAATTTATTTTATTTAAAATGAATTCAAAATTTATGCCTTTCAGTATTTCAATATGACCTTCTCTCCAATTGTCCACACCAATGAGGGTTTTATGCTTTATTCAGCTTCAGTGAAAGCAGGTTCCCTAATGAATTGGTGTGTGTTTCATACACACACACACACACACACACACACACACACACACACACAAACAATTCTCTCTTTTCCATTCCCCTTACCCTCAAAGTATCTTTGAAGTTATCTATGGTATTCTGAGTACACTAAATTTACTTGACATGGAACAATTGAAAAAAGTTATTGTGTGTACCTGAAAGAGTCTAGATATTGGAATCTGACAGGCTTAGGTTCAAATTAAGGCCCTTCCACATAGATGAGTAAGCCTAAGCAATAATCTTTCTGAGTCTCAGTTTCTTTGTTTGTAAAAATGGATAATACCAACTGTATAGGACTTTTTATAAAGACTAGGGGAGATAATGTACACAGCACATAGTGCCTAGCACAGACTAGGCCCTTCAAAGTGATGACGATTATTAATATGAAAGGTAAGTTATCTTGAAGTGATATTTGCATTGGAGAAATAACTCAAGACTCCTCACTTTAAATCTCTGGCTCCAATTCAACTTGGCTCCGAAAATATGGTGCCAAATAGAGAGTCATAATCACAGTGTCTTGTACCATTTCTTTTTTTTTTTACACATAGATACCCTATATTGCTTTTGGTGAAAAGTATGTTGCAAAGTATTAAAATAATGTTTCCTCAATTCTAAGACATCTGTTTTTTCACATTTGAATGTTTTGGAAAATCAGAATGAGCTTTACAATTATTGTCACAATAAACATGTCAACTGCTAGGTGGAAGAGTTGCTAAGAGGAGTTGTCATTTGCCTGTAAATCTTTCAGAATAAAGAATTTTTCAAAGCCAGGAGATGTTGGTGTTTATGTTTCACTCAGATGCAAAACATCTGTCTGTCAAACTCTTGAAAGAGGAGCTGTTGAACTCCCTGCAAGATGTAATCAATTAAAGAAAAAAAAATTAAGATTCTAAATCGAGGGTGCTACAGAGGTCAAACTCATAGGCACTTTTATGAAAGTGTCACCTCTGCTTGGCAACAACTGCCAATGTTCTAGTAAATCTAAGGAATCTTTAGAATATGAGTGAAGATGGTGGGTAATTATATGAATGTATTTCTTTTTCTATCTGAATAGAACTATCTTTTAATTAGGTAAATTAATCTTCTTTCTACTAATTGACAGACTCAGCAGAAAAAACTTCTAGCTTTTAAAGTCACCTAAAAACAGGGTTAAATATAATTACATTTACTTAAGATGTAAGCGCTTTACTGTATGTATGTTATACTAAAATAGAACATTTAAAAATTGCAGGTAGATATGCCTATGTATTTAGCTTGAATAATTGAAAATTTACCAAAATGTAACCAGTTACAACTTTTGAACTGGTAAGTATAACCATTTATAGAAAATACCTTCTCAGCTAAGTCCTGGGTACATTGCACATATTATTTAATAATGATGATAATAATAATAATAACAACAATGACTAACACTTATTAAGCTTTTGCTATGTGCCAGATACTTACAAAGGTATACCAACTGTCTCATTTAATTTTTAAAAGACCTCACAAGGTGGGTATTATAATTATCTTTAAAAATGAGGAAACTCACATACAGACAGTAGTCTGCCCTTATCCAAACCCCCCAGTGGATGCCTGAAACCTCGGATAGTTCCGAACCCTATACATACTACATTTTTCCTACACATACTTGCCTCTAATAAAGTTTAATTTATAAATTAGGCAATTTCACAGATAGAAGACTTGTTCTTTCTGTAGATCTTAGCAGCTCCAGCCTATGATATTTTTTTTTATTATTGAGAACTTTCTCCTTTTCATTTCAAGGAAGCACTTATGGCTCCTCTTTGGGGAGCCTCGCTACTCTCCCGCTTTGGGGCCATTATTAAGCAAAATAAGGGTTACTTGAACACAAGCACTGTGACACCACGATAGTTGACCTAATAACTGGGATGGCTACTGAATGACTTATGGTCGGGGAACACATACAGCGTGGAAGCGCTAGACAAAGGGATGATTCACGTCCCAGGCGGGATGTAGCAGGACAGTGTGAGATTTTGTCACGCTATGCAGAATGACTAGTAACTTAAAACTTATGAATTGTTTATTTCTGGCATTTTCCATTTAACATTTCGGACCACTGTTAACTGTGGGTAACTGAAACCACAGAAAGAAAAACCATAGGTACGAGGAGACTGCTCTATAAGGCACACCTAAGTTAGTTATTTACATGAAGTTACACAGCTGGAATGTGTGTCAGGGACAAACGAGAATCTGGGCAATGTGACTCAAAGGCTTACAGTTATGTGCTTCTTCACAGTCTCCCTCAAAAATGTACACGGTAGGTTCTATTTGTCCTTGTTTTACAGATAAGACTCTAAAACATACCTTGACTGTATCACTCAACTTATAAATGGGAGAGCCAGGAATCATACCTGGCCTGTTTCCAGAGACCCCGTTGCCTGGAAGTTCTAAGAGCTGCTCTCTGGTTCTCCTCCCTCCCCCATGCTCCCCACCCCGAGTCCCACTCTTAGGCTCTCCTGTAATGTATTATTAAGAAAACCACGTCTGAAGAACATGTCCTCCCCAAAAAGGTATTACATTTTCTGTTACAAAAAAACAAAAAACCAATCGTCATTAGGAAGTGTATTTCTCAGACACAGGACTCCACGTGGGCAGTCACTGTTGTCTTGCTCAAAGAGGGACCAGCCAGGAGTGCCAGGCTCTGCTCCTCAATGCTAACCTGGGGTGTTAGGCCTATCTCAGCTCCCTCCATGACTTGCCATCTATAAATTAGTACTAACCCTTCGGATTCCAAGTATATCGATAAAAATAATAATAATAATAAAAGCTTGTTTCAACTCTAATTTATTTGGGGCCATTTCAATTGGCTGCACTTTTCTCTATTAGGAACTAAAAGTTATGATTGGGATCACCTCCACCGCCTGTGAAAAAAAGCTTCATTTCTACCCGCCCTGAAGACATTCACAGTACTGACTTAGAAGCTGACAGTGGAAAGAGAACATTGAATATCAAAGTACTCTTTTGGCGTTTTTGTATTTCAGAAGCCATGTAACCACTTGTAGCTCGAGAAATTTTGAAAGAATTCTCTAAATGCTGGGTTCTAGAGAAAAAAGAGAAATGAAGCAATTTTACAAAAAATTGCCTATCTTTTGCAGGAATTAACAGATTATAGTACAATCTACCCATAGGAGCATTTTCTGATTTTCGTGTGGCTCACTCTCCATAAAGGTCCCTGCTAAGAGTATGTATGACAAGTAAAGGTAGCACTTTCAGGTCAGACCTAAAATATAAAAGTTAAAGCTTTTGTTTGTTTGTTTGTTTGTTTTGTTTTGTGAGCCTTCTCATTAATAACCTTAATGAAATAAAAAAAATTTTTTTTTTTTAAAGACTTTCACAGCCTGTATGTTTTGAATGCTTGTCCTTTTAAATCGTGGGTTAAAGGGTGTGTCATTTTTTTTCTTTGTGTTCAGTTTCCTTTTCAGCTGTTATGTAGTGACATGTTTAGCACCTCTAACCATCAAAAGAGTTGAAAAAGAAAATAATCTGCTCTCTGGACTCTAGTTATGGGTCTGTGCCCTGGCACCTGTTAAAGTCGAAGCTCCAAGGCTGCCAGGGTTCCAAGCTGGAACCTCAACTCTCAGGCAAAGGGGTTGGGTAGGAGGTGGGGGTGAGAAATTGAAATTAAAGAAATGGAATCTAAAATAAATCATCCAACTACCATTAAGACCTTCATCTAGTCACCAGACAGAGAGGCTCGACTGGAACCAGGTACAGTGTCTGTCTCATGAAGAGGGTCTGTTTTGGACAACCGGTGATGGGGCAGAACTCCTAGGCAGCCCTCTTTTCTAGGAAAAGAGGAATCTGCAGAGCATTGAGAAACAGGAAGTACTTGCCAGTCAGTAAGGATCTCCCTTGCCAGTTACATTAATGGGGGATCCACAGAGAGCGTACAAAGCGGTAGTCTAACGCGGCGTTTACAAATTTCCACATTACACAGCACTAAGTTCAAATGCCTACCTTGCCACTTACTCGCCCTGTGATTTAAGGAAAGTTACTTAACTGCCCTAAACCTCATTTTTGTCACTTCCTTGTAGGGCCAAAGCACTAAAGCCTTTAGCTCAGCACCTGGCACATCACATGTGCTAATAAATGATTGAAACGTGTGATGAGGTTCAGGGCAGGCTGCCCCAACATGTGCCACTCTGGCAGGCAGATGTTTTCGAGCCAAAAACAATTACTTTTCTTATTTAGTTCCTTTTTAACTGTGTGATTTGTATGTTGTGATAAGATATTTTACAAAACCACTCACACTACTTTGAGGTTTCATGGGTATCAGGAAGCTCCAAGTTCTGCCCTGGGAAAGGTACTTTCTTGGCTTCCCGTTGAGGAGTTTAAGAGATGATATAGCTTCTCACACTCCCCAGGCCCTGAACCTCACCTGTGGGATTCTGGGAAATGCCAAAGGGCAGGAGAGAGCCAGCGACCTGCTGAGGACAAGGAAGCCTCAGCCCCACTCTGCATCTTCAGCCTCCTCAGCCCCCTGCCCTCTGGCTCTTGAACGTAGGACTGTGTGCGGACGTGGAGTGCGCCTGGCAGCTGTGGGGACTGTGTATGAAGGCACACAGCTGCCTCCAGAAGGACGATGTCCAGCACAGTTGACTTGGGTTGGTTTACTCAGGTCTGGAAGGCCACACCTTTTAGCTCAAGTACAGGAACTGGTGCCCAGAGTAAACACCAAGACCCAGCAAGGAGGCCCCCAAGTCCCTTCCCAGGGCTGACTCAGGAATTCAGGCAGCTTCTCCCCCACCCACTCACAGACCACAATGGGAACTCAGAGAATGGAGCCTTCCTTCCTTTCTTCTCTGACGGCAGGCCTGATGGTCAACAACAGCCTCAGGGAATTATAAACCTTTTGGAGAATGAAATCTCAGGCCAGGGCTGCAAACAGACAGTTCAGTGGAAATCTATTCAATTTGAGGAGCGCCTGCAGAGCTCTGTCCTTAGCTCCTGCTGCAGAAGGCAGAGACACCCTGCTGCCCTGTCCCCAGCCCTCTTCAGTCTCACTTCCACGGAGCCTACTTTGAACCTTCTCCATTCTTATTAAAAATCAATAAGAAGAAGATGAACAGCCCATAGAAAAATGGACAAGGACACTGTATCAGGCACGGTTCTCCAGAGAAACAGAATCAGTAGGATATATATAGATATATAGAAAGAGATTTATTATGAGGGATTGGCTCATGTCATTATGGAGACCGAGAAGTCCCTTGATCTGTCGTCTGCACGCGGAGATCCAAGAAAGCTGGTGGTGTCATTCAGTCCAAATCTGAAGGCCTGAGAACAAGGGAAACCGATGGAGTAAATCTCAGTCCCAGGGCAGGAGAAGATGGGACGTCTCAGATCAAGCAGTGAGGCAAGAAAAAAGGGCGAATTCCTCTTTCCTCTGCCTTTTTGTTCTATATAGGCCTTCAGAGGATTAGGTGGTGCTCACTTGCATTGGGGAAGCCATCTACCTTACTGAGTCCACCAATTTGAAAGCTAATCTCATCTAGAAACACCCTCACAGATATACGCAGAATAATGTGTAATCTGGGCACCTGTGGCCAGTCAAGTTGGCCTATAAAATGAACCATCACAGACATGAACAGGCAGTTTACAGAAAATGAGACTAAACTGGCTTTTAAATATATGAAAAATTCGAAAAATCCAAAGTAAACAAAAGATTTCATTTTTCACCTACCAGATTGGCTAAAATGAAAACATTCACTACTAAATGATACTGCCAATGATTGCGGGGAGCATAACAC